AAGAAATGGGCCTGAGCGTGGTCCGAAGGCCAGCCCACGAGTACAATGACCAGACCAATGTTGAAGTGACCGCCGAACGTCATGTAGTCACATAAACAGGGCATTGCACGCATTTCGTTTTGGTCGCCCATATCCGCAAAATCCACTTCCCGAAGGATGCTCAGTCGCATAGCATTAGCCGTCAATCGGCTTTGCTGCTTTATTTCCCACGCATTTCCTTTTCAACCGAATATGCGTTGTTGAGCATCATTTCCCATCCTTGACTCCCGTTAAAGTGTAGACGGCTCCATACTTCCAGAGAATTCCGGACTGGACGAATGTGTAGTGCCTGTTATTCTGCTGACTCCTTTTCATACCTTCCCTTAGGCATATTATGAGGACATCCAGAATGACGCCTGACCGATGTCTTCCAGCTCACGCAAGGCTCCCATACCTCTCACAAAGACTAGATCTATCCTCATGAAGAATGAACCTGCTTGACCATCCATATTTGTGCGTAACTTCGATGTAACCAGCTTGAGATGGGAGGCCCCAGATTCGCACCTATCAAAGTTACGAATCTGAGGGAGTACCGATTAATCACAAAACCTACAGAAGCGAATCGAAATATTCCTTGATTCGCACATTGAAGCCTTTATTTTGACAGATTTCTTGGCAAAATCTACTATGATTCTAGCCACTAGCATCGTCGCGTGTAGACGGTACTCTCTCACGAACCGTACGGATCCAAAAGACTTTAGTTTAAGAAATTGGACGTTGTGCTTGCGATAAGCGAATCCAGTTTGCCTAAAACGCTTGCTTGTGTGAGACATCAATGGCAACTTCAGACGAACAAGAGACGGTAGTACGCTCAATTTCACTCAAATAAAGATGAATGAAACAACATCAGGAAGGTAAGGTGACAATCCAAAGGAACACGTTTGCAAGCAAACATGCCAAGCCATAAATAACTCGACTCTTTTACTGTCCCACATCCCTCTATACGTCGAGTAAGCAGTGCAGTAAAATTTGTATTAACAAAGAGGAGTTAGTTAAAATGTAGTCGCGTAAGCATAAAAAAATATTTGATAAATACCCGAATCTGATCGAATGCAGAGCGATCATGAAAGATCCGCCCAGTTAATTGGCTTTAGACAATGCTCCTTAAGATAGGCGTTCGCCTTGCTGAAGTGTTTGCAGCCGAAGAAACCGCGGCTTGCCGAAAACGGGGAAGGATGAGGGGCATGCAGAACTAGGTGTCTTTTTCTATCGATACCCGCTCCTTGCGACTGTGCATTTGCTCCCCACAATAAGAACACAACATGCTGCCAAGAAAGGGAAGAGAAACTAGATGACGAGACGCCAGAGCGCAGTAGCATGAAAAGGAAACCAATAGAAGCCAATGACAGCGAAACCTGATGCTAATTTGGTGTACCCACCGAGCAGTGGAGATTGATGTAGTCAATGACAGCGCCAGTGAGTTTCTCCCAACCCTGATCCTTATGCGAATTTGGTTGAGAAGCGCGGACAGTGAGAACGGCGTTTAAAAGGAGAACGCCCTGCTCCGCCCAACGAGTGAGGTCCCCATGGTTGGGAGGCCAGCTGCCGGATACAGAGACGTCGCAGTCGGAGGCTATTTCCTTGTATATGTTAACCAAACTTGGTGGAGGACGCTGCGGTCGCCTAACCGAAAACGCCAAACCGTGTGCCTGCTGCGGACCATGGTACGGATCCTGGCCTAATATAACCACCCGTACCTTACTGGGCGGTGTTAATTTGCTCCACGTAAAAACCTAAAAATCAATTATTACATTCGCAAACACATACGCCTACTTTACCTTACGTGAACACCCATTGTGCACACAAAATGGCCCATACAGGAAGCAATTGGATAGTTAGTAAATACACAGTTTATTTATTCCAGGATGGCAAAGAATTGACAATATCTGTTGAGTACAACAATTTAAAGAAAGCTATCCATACTTATTGCACCTTAAAATGTGGTCGTGGTGGGTGGTTGTGAGCTGAAATAGTCTTCCTGAACGGCAACCTCAAAAATTCACCCGATTATTTTCCCGACACGGCTCAAGGAAAAAAGTTCAGAAAGGAAAGTGCTGAACATCTATGCACACTACTAACTGCCAAGTTTTATAACTAAACCTCCTTTGAATCATCACAGAAAGCTAATCATGGAAATATATAGGCAAAAAAACTGAAACCCACTTCCTCTTGAGGGGGGTAGACAGTGGTCTTCGTCCGTTCCAGTTCGATGAAACTTGCCAGTTTTGTGAAAGAATCACCTCTGATTACGCTTGCCAAATGGAAGCACCACTCTAGGCCCATGTGTCGAGTCAAAGTTTTAACGGCACTCGGCAAATGAAGTCTAAGTTCGGCAACGCTGCGACTGATCTGAGGCCGGTTAAAACCATCCCCGGATGTCAATTCAGTAACCGTGTTATGCGAGCCTTCCGTCACTAACTCGCAATCAGTTCGCCGCACTTTGCATTTCGGACTAAGCTCTGTTGATGGCCTTTTCAAGAATTTCAGAATACTTTGCTGCGCAGACATGGCGCAACACCGAGGCACAAACCAAAATTCAAACGCCCTTGGTGAAAACGCGATCGCCACTTTATGCTTATGAATTTTATCAAATTAGTCTGGCCTTGCAGTAACCATTATCCTCTTATTTTTTAAAAATTTTTAGTTATTTCCTAGCAATTACTTACTTGTCGTATGAAAATTTAAGTGTACACAATTGTTTTAGCCCCGTCTTGTTATTCTGAATGCACTCATCCGACAAAAGAAGAGACCACGATTATGTACAACATTTACTCTTTTTTATACATGCACACTCAAAAAGCGTTTTAAAGTTAAAACAATGGCGTCCCAAGACCTTTCTAGAGTGGAAGAGGGCAATAAGTGGAGCTGGATATATGTATTCCAAAAAGAACAAAGCAACTGGACCT